AAAAAAAAAAAAAAAAAAAAACATATGTTCAATATTGTTACACACATGTAATTAAAAATAAAGTGAGATTTATACGACGCTGTAGTTTCGCGGAAAATAATATTATCTTTGTTCTTTGCGAAATAACTGAAACTTTTAAGTTATTTTACATATATTTGCATGATAAAGTTTTCTTTGTTTTCTCTCCGAAAAATACGATATACGCGTGATACACTACATCGAAAATTTAGAAGCGATCATTCTTCCTTTTTTCCGGATAAAACCAAATGAATTTTAAATAAATAATTACGGAAAATTATTTTGCCATATCTTAATTTTTATCTTTATCATAATTAATTAAATAAGTAAATCTTATTTAAAACAGTGTGATAGATTAATTTTCTCTTTACTTTAATCTTTCATTATAACGTATAAACTTAATCATTATGGATGATGGGAAACACATGCAAAAGTATTTTCAAAACTAGCGTGGAGCAACGATGCCGATACACAAAAGCTTTTTGGCTGGAAAATTGTTCATTTTAGATACGATTTGAAACCATGACACGAATGGATAAAGATAGAACCGACGAAAGTACCGAGAAAGGAAAATTGAGAGAGAGAAAATCCCTTCACGCTCGCATGAGTCTGGGCGCCATGTGTATAAGTATTTCCGACATTGGGCGAGAGTGAAGGAAGATTCTTTGAGGATAGGACAAAAGAAGAAGAAGAAAAAAAAAAAACGTTCAAAAAACGTCTAAAGAAATCCGTCTAAAGAAGAAAGTTTGGATACAGAGTTACGTGAGAAAAGAACTGTTTAAAAGACAGCTTTGAGTTTGCGTGGAACGATTCTTGATTTTATGATTTATTTAAAAAAAAATTAAAACAGAGCAAATTAAATTAGAAAATGGATATAATTATCGAACGAAGACGAATAATCGAATTGAAGTTTTTCAATTCGAATTAAAATAATTTTCTGCGGGAATAGTGATTAACACTTAAGATACAAGTTGGAGTAGCGTCTTGTTTAAGTTGGTAAGACCATGGATTAAAGGGAACTTTCGGGATGCTATTATTTCAATGGACCTAGATTAATCGAGTCGAAGGATCATCGAAGCAAGCACATGCTTTGTCTGTATAGTTTCACGAAATTACGTGTATACCAGGATTAATTTGGAAGACGGTATTCTATGGATCTTATTCTCTTTCGAATCTTTAAAATTTTTGCACTTATTACAAAATTGCTTCTTTAATTAGACATTTTATGCATTTTTTCATTGATTCTATTAGATATTCAAATAAAGGGAACAGAAGGAACTTACTTGAGGCCAGCAACGATTTCCATGGCTGAGTTAAAATTTCCGGTATTCCAACAGGTTTGAGCTACGCGTAGGAGACAGGACAATACAGCCTGCCTTTCTTCTATCGTTGTGCCGCTTGTGATCGCGTGGGTAACCCATGAGCTCACCTGAAATTACGAAATATTGTGTATAATTACAAGATATGTAACTGGTCACCAAGTCAATTTTTCCACTCCATTTTCCACTAATTTTCCTTAGAGATTCTACAGATATTAAGATATCTTAAAATTGGCCATTTATTATTCTATCAAAATTTCTTTGTATTTTTCAAATACTTAAAAAGCTCTTTTTGGAGCTTGCTATTTCACACATACTCTGGATTCAACCATCAATTTTTTTTCCAACGCCAGATACGAATATTTACAACAATCGAAAAATCGAACCCAAAAATAAATCTATCAATGATCAATGATCATTTAATATCAAAGATGGATCGTAATTTTCTCCCTCCCCTTTCTTCCTTCCACCAATATTACAAATATTACAACGTGATCAGACAGAAGACATTCTCAGAAAGAAAGATAAATCTATCTCTATCAGGATTGTCTCAAAGGATTTCGAAGGTTTATCGTTCGAAGGTCACTTATACAAACTTATCCACAACTTATTAACTCATAATTACCTCATTGAAACGATTGATGAGCGTCTGAACGGAAGAGGAGAAGTTGGGTACAGGCCAGTTAGACTCTTCCTCGGTCTGGGTCGAGCTGTTGGCGGTGCTCGGATTGCAATAGCTGCGACTCGGCGACGGGGGTGGCCTGGCAGGTAGTTTCTGCGTATTCTGATCTTGTGCCACGTGCCTTAGGTACTCCTCAGGCGGTACCTGGTAGAACAGCTGGTATTCGGTCTCCGTCAACCTGAGCGCCACCTCCTCGGGGAAGTGCAGCAGCTTGTGCAGATCCTCCAGCTCCTCAGAGCTCCGAGGCGGCTGCGGCTGCGGCCGCTTCTCCAGCTCTAATTAAACACATTGTACACCCCGCTTTAATATCCAACTGCGTGAAACATTGCACGCGCAAACAGATTTTCTGCTTCGACTTTCTTAAGAAATTCATTCCCCCTCTCTCGAGTCTCGGATTTTCTTCGCTCCTTCGGGATTAATGGAGGGATTAATGGAGGGAAGAAGGAAAGTGGAAAATTAATATTTTTGTTGAGAGAACTTTTTTATTCTCTCTTCTTCTTCTTCTTTCTTTTTTTTTAAAGGAGATAGGAATTTTTCTTATGGATTTTTTCGCTACTCGAGATCGAATTAAAATTAACATTATAGAAACGATAAGAAGGTGGAAATTATTATTATTTTTGTCGAAAGAACTTTCTTCATCTTGTTATTTTATTTTCCAGTAAAGTAGAAAATATTTAATCATTAATGACGATCGAGTCTCCACTTTTATAACATTTATTTTTCAAGGAGAGAAAGAAAGATGTTATTATAAATGATTAATGTTATTATGAGTCTGTGATTGCGTTAATTGCTGGCCAATATTAACTCCATATATGTGTTTAATATCGTTTATTTTATATATTTTACGAAACATATAATTTCCTTCCTAGACGAGGAAATTTCGCCGTGTATTTCAACTGATTTGCGAAAATTACATTGGCGAGAACGAACGGGGGAGTAGAAATTGTTTGTTGGAATGGTTTGTTCCAGTCGAAGGGGAAACGGAAAGTGAATGGACGCGCAAAAGCGTTATTCGAAGCATGCCGACAATTTAAAATCTGACCCAGTTCTGTCAAAAATAATTAAGATTGGCGCTGACTCGTCGTGGCGACGCGTGTATAACGCGCGTATATACACACAGGAACCGGAAAATGTACGAGTGGCATCCATTTGCGGCGACAAGAAGAAACTCGAGTAATTCGACGTATCCGGTATATTAACGGATCTTGCCTTGTTATTAAAAGCAATTCATAAAATCACGCGTGTCCAGAATATTTCTAGAATATTCTATTCGATCAATTTCTTTCAACCAACAAATGCCAATAAATACACAATGGATAATTATCATTCGAGGAAACAAGGAGTTCAGATCTCCGATAATTCTCTGAAATTCGTGATAACCATAACGCCTGTCTTAATCTCACTTAAACTAATTTGCATCAAAATCACGCGCTAAACCAGAGACGTTAAGCGGATGTATAATGTACGTGTATAAACGATGCGTCATCTTCTGACCGCCAGTACAAGTTATCGGCGAAAATAAAGTCGAAGAAGTCAAAGAAACTGGGATAATTTTTAATGGTATAATTTTTAAAATCTATACGATTTTGTATACGCAGAATCCACTTTTCGTTCTTTCACCACTATTTTTCGAACGAATTCTCGACGAAAAGATCGAATATCGGAATCTTACACAGAATTCAACCTTTGTGAATTATCATTATCGACGAATAGGGTTTGTTATAATTTGTTGAGATACAATAATTAAGAGAAACGAAGGCACTCGAACGTGGCAAAATTCCATCATCTCCGAATAAACTAATATCATTAATCTAAAAACTATAAAAAATAAATTAATTTCAAAAGAAATTATTGTTGCAACTAATCGTATAGATCCTAAAATTGAATAATTGCAATTAGAAATTCAACAAATAAATAAAACTGGATAAACTCCTATTCCTAAAATTAATATTATAAATAAAATTATTATTCATAATTTAAAAAATATATTGAATAAATTCATGGATATAAAATTCATAATATTAATGACAAAAAAATATTATTATTGGTTTATAAATATATAAATTTGAATAATTGAAAAAATATCATTCTTTAGATAATAATTTTAATGCATCTCTAAAAGGTTGAAATAATCCTATAAATAATATTTTATTAGGACCTTTTCGATCTTGAATATATCCTAAAATTTTCCGTTCTAATAATGTTAAAAATGCAACTCTTATTAAAACTATAATTATTAAAATAATTAAATTAATTAAAATAGAAATTATTATTTATTAACTAATTTATTAATATAATTAAATTCTAAATTTAATGCACTATTATGCTAAAATAATAAAAAATATTTAGTAAGTAAATATTTAGTTTTTTATTTAAATTATTTATAAATTAAGGTCCTTTCGTACAATTAATTTAATTTTTATTATAGATAGAAACCAATCTGACTTACGTCGATTTGAACTCAAATCATGTAAGAGTCGAACAGACTCAAAATTTAAACTACTGCATTTAATTTTAATCTTAATTCAACATCGAAAGTTACATCACCGCGTTTCCGAAGTTGCGTTAAAATCAATTTCCCTTTGTTCACTCGAGCCAGCGTAAGTACACGAGCCTGTTATCAAAACATGGTGTGCGTGAAACGACGGACGAATAATAACACGCGTGCAGACGAGTGATTAACGATTAACAATGTATGCGTCATGCATGATCGAGATGGAATCGGGAATAGCGAATTTTCGTTCAACGAATTTTCGAACAAAGGGACGATGAAAGAGATGAAAAAGATAAAACGCGGGGTAACAAACGTTTTCAAACGGAATCCGGCTGGTTTGCGGGTTGAAATGAAATTTCATTTGTTCTCGCGTCCCCGAGGACCGAACCGTATCGAATGAATGAAATTATATCAGGTGACGGTGCAAACTTGTTCTAGGTTAAATTATTATGCTCCAAGGAGACGTCTCCTCGCGGGGAAAAATTTATTTCGTATCATCTGTACGTAGAGAAACGTTGTGGCGAATATTTTTTTATTTTTAAGAATAAAAGAAATACAAACAGAGGAAGAAAATATCGTTCGTAAAAGGGGAGAGAAAAATAAAAGTGGATTAATAAGAAGAATTGCGAAAAATTTTATTAAAAATAATTCTTTAGAGATTTTTGATGTGTATTTTGTGAGTAAAGAGGATAGAAAAAAATAAGAAAAATTTATCCATTTGATAATTTAATCTTGATATGATCGATTCGTGTTTAAGAAAATTTAAGATTTCCAATGGTAGAATAAATGTGAAGAACAACTCTTTCGAATTTCTTTGATGAAATCTAATTTAGAATAATCCTAATTGAGAGAAAGAATTGTCGATTTCATTTCGAATTTAAATTGTAAATTGGCAGGGATGAGAAATCTTGTGGCTCGCGTGTTTTCGAATAAACGGGAATCTTCGATAGAAGGACAAGCATTGTAAACAGAGTAGCCAGTTAATTAGTACTTTAACATACATCAACAGGACTGACAGATCGATACAATCAGATAATGATAAGGTAACAGGAAGGAAGAGGTAATCAAAGTGCTAATGCAAATATTGGCTGTTCAAGTATCCATCTTTCTAAAGGTAACAACGCTTTCATATACCTAATTGACACGTAAATCGATACTCGTGAGGACGATAAATGAAAAGCTATGACGTTACCTATCGATTATACCGATGTTCGCGTCGAGATCACGCGGAAATTCACGATTTTTCGAGGAAAAATTTTAAATCTCGATCGGATAGGATTATTCGATGGAATAGATGATATACAAATAATTTGAAATTCATCGAAATATATACGTGAGTTTTTAGAAATTAAATTTTCCTCCCATTTCATTTTTTAGAAGTTAGCCTCGAAGTCTCGAAATGAACACTCTTATGGAATATCGAAATTGCGTTATCATCGAAAATTGGATTACACATTCGTGGCGGTAAAAGCATTTTTATAATTGAATCCATGATAAAGCGTTTTAATATATATATATTCCGATGTAAAAGAGGAAGGCACATATGATAAATATAAATGTATTATATTTGTATTATCTTTACGTTAAAGTGTGTTCCGTTTCTGAAGAAAAATTTCTAAGCCAATGATTAATGGCGACAGTTTAATATTACTTAGCATTTAATCGGTATTTCTGAATGACGGATCATTAGTTTTTTGTGTTTGCAGAAGTCGAGTGCTTTTTTTTTTATTTATCTTATGGAATAATAATTTCACTCGAAATTTTTAAATGATTCTTATTTAAAAAAATTTGATATTTCTTTATAATTCTTTGAGAAGTAATAAATTGATTAAAGAATAACATCATTTTATTTTTCCAATTTTTTTTTCTTTTTAAATAACTTATTAACTCAATGCATACATATTAATTTTCGAGCTCAATTAATCATGCTCGTTGTATGCGAATCTAATATTTGATTAATATCTTAACATCACAATTTTCGTAGCTTTAAAATATCTCCAGGAAATATTATACGCTTCTGAAATATATAATATTAATTTCATCCCGTATTCTCATATATTATGAAACATACGTTTCTTTTTATCGTTAAATAATATAAAACGTAAAACTAAAAATGGAACAGAAAATAATTCAGTAGGATTAAAATCGTGTATTCCTGTATCTATTATCGTTTTATCAGGCAATGGATTAACAGTTCAGTAAGAGATATTATAGAAAAGATTAACGGCTTTTTCAATTGGGAGAAAATGAAGCTAATTTTAAATCAATACGTAAAGCAAAACGTTAAACGATAAACATCCTTTCAACAGCCTTTTTTTTACAAATTTCTGTTTTCTTTTATAATTGAAAAACTGAAATTTTTCTTTTATCTTTAATTTTCGCATTTAACTTTCTAAAAGTATCTAAAATGAATACAATATTACAGATAAATTATTTGTAATTTGTATAATGTTCCACCAGTATCGTGTTAAAAATTTTTGTTAAAAAAAATCTCTTGCTTATTACTTGTAACGATCTATTTAGATGAAAAACGGCATCCAACTTTGCTAATAAATTACTCGACTGTTATTACGAGAGGAAAATTGTGCCTGTAGGAAAATTCTCTCATTCCTAAGGATCTTCATGTTCAAGGATTATATCATGTTTTATATTCTCGTACATTCAAAACTTTCCATTATATTTTTCATTAGGCAATTTCTTCAAGGAGAAAT